AAAATCCAACACAACCCAAGTCCTAAAATCTTCCCGCTCCAATGCAAACCCAGGTCTGCAGTCCACTTCTTTCACAAAAAACAACAAAGTAGTAAATAATTTAGGAGGAAAGATGAACAAATGAAACCAATGCAGATAAATTCAACAATCTAATTTATTCAAGACATAACACATAAAGAACTGTGGAGAGTATCTGATGGAAATTTTATTTAAAGAGCTAAACCCCACAGAAACATAACCTGGTACTGTGACGCGTGTCGGACTACTGTAGTCAGTGAAGCCTTTCAAGAGCTTCTAAATGTGTTAATTATCAGTCAGTGGTTTTATATTTGTTCCTGTCAGAAAAAATCCAGGAGATGAAATTTACTTTTAAAATGGGATGATTTCTCTTTCCATGCTTATATGAAGGCAGGACTGACAGGTGACAGGTGAAGGGACATTCTGACCATGGACACCAACGAACACAGAGCTGGCCCTGCATGAAGGGAATTTGTCTGACCTCGATTCAATTCAGTTTAATTCTATTGCGCCAATTCACAACACATTTCATCTCAAGGCACTTTTCTGAGATCATTCAACCAGATCATCCAGTCAAATTGATTCAAAGTGTAAAAAGGAAAACCACTTGTTTGCATCAATTAATTGACTAAATCCCTCACACCAAGCATGCTTGTAGCCACAGTGGAGAGGAAAAAAAAAGAAATTTCCAGCAGAACCAGGCTCAGTGTGAGCTGCCATCTGCTGAGGCCGACTGGGGTTCAAGGAGGCAGAAGCATAGATACAAAAGGCAACTGTAAACCAGCTCCACAGGCGCCCCCGTCCAGGAAACACACAGCCAGGCAGACAATCTCCAAACCAACCCCCACGTCAGAGGATGAAAGAGAGCACATCACGGCTGTATTTGAATTTATGGGCTGAGTCTTCCAAGGATGCGGTCTACCTGGACCGGATACTTCGAAGTCCTTGAAAAAAAGGAGACCAGAAGATTTTTGGCATTGAATTCAAACAGGTTTGAATTCTCTGCCACGCTATGATGTAACCGGCCTGTGAATATGGCCTTCAGAGGACGCATCTCATGAATTCGAACAGAGCCCACATAAGTCACAGTCAGAGAAACAGGACTATACTGACAAACAGGCCAAACTCCATCATCTATAAACAAAAGTGTTGACAGTTCATGATAACCTGAGCCCCTCTAACTATAAACTTTATCAAAAAGTTAAACATTTTCAAGCCTTAAAATTAGACAGGGTGTCAGCCTCACGGACTAAAACTGGTAGTTGGTTCCACAGGAGAGGAGCCTGATAACTAAAAGATCTGCCTCCCATTCTATTTTTAGAAATTTTAGGGACAACTAGTAAACCTTTAAATTCTATTCTTGATTTAACAGCCAATGAAGAGAAGCCAGGATAGGAGAGAT